CCCGCGTGGAGGCCAGGCCTGTCTGACTCTCCACACAGACTCACAGCCCGTCCGCGGGTGAGGGACCAGGACAAGACCACGGCACAGAACCACGTGCATGGATGGCTCAGAGAGCCCTCGGGAAGATGTCAGGGGCGCCCCACACCCCCTGCCACCCTCCCCCACCCCTGCACCCCCCAAGCAGGCGGGGGGGGGGGAAGTCAGGGTTTCATTTCTTTCTCTTTCTCCTACACCTCTTTTACTTCCCAGTTGTCAGTATTTCTAATTTTTCTTCAAGGAACATGCTCACTTTGCAGTAAATGCAGAGCTAAAAATCAGCAGGCGGGCCCGCTCATCACGCCTGAACCCCAGGTCACCAGCACCTGGTGCCCCCGGCCACACATGGTTCCATTAGTTCTGCTCAGAAATGTCACAGCTGCCATTTTCAGGGCCCCGGGTCCCCAGAACCCTGGCCCACAGCCCACACTGGCCCAAATGCAGGTCACGTCCTCTCTTAGTCATCTCTGATGACTCCCACTGCTAGGGACAGTCCCACACTCCATCTGGGCACCGAGGTCCAGCTGGGCCTGCTTGCCCCCCTCTCTTCGTTTCTCCCCTCTGCCCCCGGCAATAGTTGGCTGAAGATTGTGTGGGTGCTGTTCAAGAGGGCTTCCTTACACTTTGCGGTTTGGCAAAATAAGTTCGTCTGCCCTAGCCGGTTCAACTCAGTGGATGGAGCATTGGCCTCCAGACTGAAGGGTCCCGGGTTTGATTCTGATCAAGGGCACATGCAGGGTTGCAGGCTCCATCACCAGTAGGGGGCGTGCAGGAGGCAGCCAATCAATGATTCTCTCTCATCATTGATGATTCTATCTCTCCCTCTCCCTTCCTCTCTGAAATCAATAAAAACATATAAAAAATAAAGTAAGTTCATCCTTCAAAGCCCGACTTGCACGTCACTTCTTCCAGGAAGCCTCCCCTGACTGCCTGGAAGAAAAGGAATCCTCCCATCGAGGTGCGATGGAAGATGGAAGATGTAGGAGTCCAACAGCCATGTTTGGGCCCTGTCGCACCATTTCACCTGGCATTCCATGCGTGAGGATGGGTAGGGGTGGGGAGCACACGGAGCTGCCCTCTCCAACATGCCTCATACATGGGGCAGACGGCGGACGCTACCCGATGGAGAGGCCCGGGGAGTTACTCAATGAGACCATGAGGGGTGCTCCCTGGCCACTGTGGGAGATGGAGGTGGGGCCGGGGGGCTAGGTGAGGGGTCAGCATGAGAATGTTCAGGTGAGACCTTGGGGCCGGGGTAAAGCAAGAGGAAGGTGGGGAGGGGGAACTAGGAACTGTCCTGAGGTGGGAAGAAGTGTCTGTGGATAGAAGTGGGTCCTTGGGGAGAAACACAGGAAGGGCCCAAGGCGTGTCCTCAGAAGGGTGTCTGCCATGCCTGGGGCTCCAGGTCTGGGCTGTGGAAATTCAGGACCCTCCCAGGAGAGGATCTGGGGAAAGATGGGGCGTTTGTTCTATGCACGTCCAGTGGGGTGTTTGGGCCTGTGAGCAGTTCAAGGGGGCTGAGAAGAACAGGCTGATTAATCAGAAAAGTCAGAGCAATAAATGTAAAGGCTTTTATATTGAAACAAAAGGGAGAAGGAATAGACACAGCTCCTTGGCCCCTGCTTGCCGCCACCATTGGTCACCCCCACGTGGTTACATCTGCCCCATCCGCCATTGGTCACCCCCGCGTGGTTACATCTGCCCCGTCCGCCATGGGTCACCCCAGCGTGGTTACATCTGCCCCGCCCGCCATGGGTCACCCCCGCGTGGTTACATCTGCCCCGCCCGCCATGGGTCACCCCCGCGTGGTTACATCTGCCCCGTCCGCCATTGGTCACCCCCACGTGGTTACATCTGCCAGGCTCTGTGCCCTAGGAGCTCACATTCACAGGGGTCACAGGGGTCACAGGGGCTGGGGTTTCGGCACATCTTTTTGGGCAGACGCCACGCAACCTCCCACTAGACGTACCTGCGAGGGCTGAGCCCGGGGTGGGGAGACCTCACCCATCAGCGGTCCACAGGTTATCTCCTGCTGCTGTGAGCTGCCCCCTTACCACACCTGTGGTCCCCTTCCCCGTCCACACAGCCCCTGGGCTGGTGCTCCTGGCTCCGAGGCGGCAGGAGGTTGTCCCTGGGCATGTCACCCAGGGTGAACCGGGTGCAGGGTTCCAGGTGACTCCCGCCCGGGGCTGGCAGGTTGGGGCTGGTGGTTGGTGGGAGGCCTCCTGGCCTCGCTGAGCCTCGGGCTGGCCCAGGTCTGCCTCTGGCTGGGTTTCCGCCCACGAGGGCGGTGAGCTCAGCTCTCACTCTCCTGCAGCCTCTGGGGAGAGGAGCAGGCCGCCTCCTGTCCCCGGGGAGCATTCCTGGCGGAGTCCATGGCGGTCTGTGCAGGCTCGGGGTTTCCAGACATACCTGTGGCCAGGCAGCGCTCCTTCTTCCGAACGGAACAGTGAGAACACCTGGGAGACCGTTCTGCTCTCCTCCCAGGTGCGAAAACCACGAAACCGCCCAGCAGGTGCGGCTCCGTGATTGACGTGATCCAGGTGGTCACGGTTTGATTCCCGGTCAGCGCATATGTCGGGGTTGTGGGCTCCATCCCCCATGGGAGACATGCAGGAGGCAGCTGATCAATGTTTCTCATCGTTGATATTTCTATCTCCCTCCCCCTTTCTCTCTGAAATCAATAAAGATATCTTTAAGAAGCAAACCAACCATGAAACCTTCTAAACTTGGTGCCTCAAAGGGAGGCAAGCAGATTCCTTGTCAGGAAATCATGACAAGGCACAGATGTAAGGCTGCCCAGAGGACACTTGATGCCCCCCCACCTCCGGGGGGCGGTGTC